TTAATAGCCAGGTATACTTAATCTGTCCTTGCTGTTGTGCATATTTTTGTTTTCAATTTATGATGGCCCAAAGGCTGAGAGTATATGACTCATGCAAGGACATTCAGTGTGTTTAATGGTCACGCAGGGAAACATACCCAGGTCTCCAGTCAAAGTCCAGCACTCAAACCACTGAAACCATGGTTCTCATTCTTACTGATTCTAAATATCAAGTCTGTCAAATGCATAGGAACAGTCCAAGGCCAACCTGATCCAGATATTTTAGCAAGCCTTGTAATAATCCTCCAGAACTCAGCCAATGGTCAACCACAAACTACCTTCAAGAACTTCTAGGGTTGTTGTGGACAACTGCCATAGCAGCTATTAAAGGGGCCACACACAACGAAGTTTCATGCTGTAATCTTATTTTAACCATAAAACCTCTATGGTGCTTAGAAACACTGACTGGACTCAAGGGAGTGGCAAACTGGTGCAACAATTCTAGTGCTAGGAGTGTAAACTGGCAGAGCAGATCAAGCCTCCCCTGGGCTGCGCCATTGCATTTCATAGCAGCATTGATCCTCAGAAACAGTAAATGAAACATGGCACAAAAGGAGGAAAACAAGATCAGACAGGAGATAGGCTCCCGTTAAAGGCACAGGAGCCAGAGTGTGTGCTATGCTGACCCAAACAGAGCACCCCCAGGGCTCCAGTTTAGCCCAGCAGCAGAATACTGACACAGGTTGAGCATCCCTTAGCTCAGTGGTTCTCATCCTGTGGGTCCCCAGGTGCTTTGGCCTACGACTCCCAGAAACCCCAGCCAATTTACCAGCTGTGAGGATATCTGGGAGTTGAAGGTCAAAACATCTGGGGACCCACAGGTTGAGAACCACTGCCTTAGCTGGAATTACAAAATCTGAAATTGCCCACAAGGGTGGCTGGTTTGTACAGCTTTACTTTTTATTACAACGCACCTCTAGCTCCATGAACAAAATCATTGCAAATATGAAACCAAATTACCTTCAGGTTAGGCGCACAAGGTGTATATGAAGCACAAATAAAACCTGTGCTTTAGACATACATCCTCTCTCCAAAGGTTTATTGCCACTGTAGTATTAATGCAGTTTGATAGCACTTGAACTGCTGCAGATCAATAATGTGGAGCCATGGGATTTATAATTTGGTGATGCATTAGCACTCTTTGGCAGAGAAAGCAAAAGACCTTGCAAAACTACAGCTCCCACAATCCATAGCACTAAGCCAAGGCAGTGAGAGTGGGGTCAAACTGCATGTTTAGATGCTTTCCAAAACATTTTGGATAACAGGTATTCCAAAATCTGGAGGGAAACAAATCCTGATAGCATTTCGGATAAGGAAGGTGCAACCTGTAACAAGGGCCTAGCAACAACTTCAGGATTGGTGCAAAGGCGACCTGAGGCCTGCCTCCGCAAAGAGGGCTGCTGGGCGGGAAGCCTGGCTCCTGCAGGCCGGCTCAGGGACGCGGCTCCGCGGGTGACCTCTCGCTTCCCTTCCGTCCCTCCGTCCCTCCCTCCCTCGTACCGGAGCAAAAGGCGGAGAGTGGCGCCCAGGCGGCCCGCGGGCAGCATGGCCATGGCGGCAGCTCCAGGAGGCGGCAGGAAGGAAGGCGGCACCGGCTGCCTCTTGCTCCGGCGACAGAGGGCGCGAAAGGGACGCTCTCTCCGCGGCAACTCGTTGGCTGCTTAAAAACCATCCAATCCCGGCGGAGGKTTTCTCGCGACGCATTGGCTGGCCGAGATTGAGCGGCCATGCTAGGCGGAAGTGATGTTTCAACGCCCTCCTCCGTGCCGCGCTAGRGACTGAGCTCTATGGTAGTGGTCTCAGCCTGGTCCATCCCAGCATCCCATTTTGGAATACCTACCTCTATCTGGARGAGMCCAGGATCTCTCTAAACATGAAGTTAACGTATGTTTCACATGCACCTTGTGCGCAGGGCCTATAAGATCGTTTATATTGGCGCTGTCTGAGACCATTGTAGTCGGAGGTGACCCCCCCCCCCCCAATAAAAGATAGTTCATAATCAGGAAATGCATAGTTTTGCCAAGGACACCAGGCTGGAACGATATATGAACTTCTATTTTATGAATGGACTTCAGCTGATCAGTGCCCTTATGAACTTCATGTTTTCCCCTAACTGTCATGGACCCTAATTTTGGTCGTGTCAGGAGTGATTTGAGAAACTGCTAGTTGCTTCTGATGTGAGAGAATTGGCCGTCTGCAAGGATGTTGCCCAGGGGACGCCCGGATGATTTGATGTTTTATCATCCTTGTGGGAGGCTTCTCTCATGTCCCCGCATGAGGAGCTGGAGCTGATAGAGGGAGCTCATCCGCCTCTCCCCGGATTCAAACCTGTGACCTGTTGGTCTTCACTCGTTGGCCTGATAGGTGTATTGTGTCCAAACGTGGTGTCAGTTCGTCCAGTGGTTTTTGAGTTATGTTAATCCCACAAATGGACATTGCATTTTTATTTGTATAGATGATTTTATATGATTTATATGTACGTCTGTATCAAAATCTGAGGAAAAGGTAACCTTTTTATGAACTCTGGCCAGCTCTTCCTGACTCAGGTGCCACAAGCTGCCCTGGGTCTGCATTTTGTTGAATGGACGCTCAAGCATTCCACAATATAGACAATAGCTTGATGACCCCTTTTCTTAAGCCTCAGAGGATCAGGCCACTTAAGAATTGGGTAAACTTTTGGACACTTTAATCACTCTTCGAAAAGGATATTTCCCCTCTGCGAGGAGAAGGGGATGTCACAGCTTCCCAAAACAATGACATTCCCTTCCCCAGTAAACTGGATTAGGAGATCATCAAGATATTAATATCGGTGAACTTTTTGACAATGGGATGGCTCCAAGGGGCCAGATAGAAATGTTGTTTCAAAACTCTGTAGCAATAGCTAGGTTGGGTTTGAGGATTTACAGCAATCACCTTGATTGCCTGTCAATAGAGTTTGGGATGGGCCACTCATAATCCTATCACCAAGCTACTATTTTCTTTTGTTTTACTGTTGCCACCCCTCCTTGCAGCTGAAGCAGGGCTCGGGCTCCCATTGGACGAGCCACACCAGCCCCTGGACACTCTTCCTGGCTTGCTGATGTCACAACCAATCACAGCAAAGCCAGCTCAGGGGGCGGGAAATTTGAATGGAAAAAAACTGTATATATTGTCTAGTTTTCTGCATTGGAACCATGGTGGTTTCTTCAGCAGATTACTGCAGCTGTCATCCGTTTCCAACTCAAACAGAAATAAATACCTTGGTGGCTTCTCTTCAACTTGGTGAGATTTATTCTGGAATACTGGCTTCTTTTCTCACCAGGCTAAACCCACAGTGGCTTGGATCTCACTATCCACAACCATTCTAAATTGCTCGACAACACCAGTACCCCTTGGCTTATGGTACTACTACTAGGCCTCACTTGGGGGCATTCAGGCAAGTCTGAGGACTGTCCAGTCAGCCTACTGTTGCTATATGTGCTGCTTTTAGCTCTGTTCATGGAACTAAACACATGTTTTAATAAAAAGCAAAGCTGTAAAAACCAAGCCACCCTTGTATGAGTTTGTCAAGGATGCCTGACATCCTTAGGTCTACATATCATAGCGTTGTGAGAAGATTGTGTTGTTTATTCGTTCTGACTCTTTGTGACCTCATGGACAAGTCCATGCCAGAGCTCCGTGTCGGCTGTCACCACCCCCAGCTCCTTCAGAGCCAAGCCAGTCACTTCAAGGATACCATCCATCCATCTATCTTGCCCTTGGTTGGCCCCTCTTCCTTTTTCCTTCCATTTCCCCCAGCATAATTGTCTTCTCTAAGCTTTTCTGTCTTCTCATGATGTGGCCAAAGTACTTCATCTTTGCCTCTAATATCCTTTCCTCTATTGAGTAGTCGGGCTTTATTTCCTGAAGTATGGACTAGTTGGATCTTCTTGTGGTCCAAGGCACTCTCAGAACTTTCCTCCAACACCACAGTTCAAAAGCATCTATCTTCCTCTGCTCAGCCTTCCTGGTCCAGCTCTCACATCTGTAGGTTACTATGGGGAATACCATTGCTTTAACTATGCGGGTCTTCATTACCAGTGTGATGTCTCTCTGCAGTTGGCAGAGGAACAGAGGAATACTCTTAGCTCACAATGCAATGTGTTGTTACAGGACAAATAAGTTTTTAAAAAAATAAATAAATAGGTCAACCTCTTGGAGACATAACAAGGCCACTTCTGAGGCAGTCAATTCAACGTGGTCCACCAGCAGGGTATTAGTTTTAAAGAGAAGAGAGAGACTGAAACTATAGTCGGCTGGTCATAGAAAACAAACTTTTTTTACAGTCTGAAATCATGGGAGTTGTAGTTTGTAGAAAAGGATGAAGACTTAGGACCACTCCAGACAGGCCCTATATCCCAGGTTTTCTTGATTACATGAGTCCCCACTGCCAGATAATCTGGGATAAACAGAAAAGCTGGGATCAGATGCTGGGATATAGGGCCTGTCTGGAATGGCTCCTTGTGAAACGATAACTTCCAGTATTCTATTGCACACAATCCCAAACTGTGGCTTGGTAGCTGTTTGGGCTTTACTTTGGGAGAGCCACCCTCACACGGCAACCCTGCAGCTGTTTGGGCCTTCAACTCCCAGAATTCCTGACCAATAAACAAGCTGACTTGGGCTTCTGGGAGCTGGAGTCCCAAACAGCCGGAGGGTCGTAGTTTGAGGATGTCTGTTCTGTATAGCATTGAGCCAGGGCAGTTAACGTGGTACCAAACGGCATTAATGCTTCATTGGAGATACATCCACGCTCTTTCTCCCGCAGCCATTTTCCTCCAGTTGGTTCCCTTTCTTCCTTCCTTCCTCCCACCTTCCTAAAGACCAAGGAAGGAGAGGAGAAGCCGTACGTCATCTTCCGTGAGCCAATCAGGGGACGGAGGACTTTGATTGACGGCTCTGAGGAGTGAGGTTCCCATTGGCGGCTTGGGAATGGGGGCGGGCTCTTACTCATCAGCGGCCAGTGCGAACGGGAGGGACTTCCGGGGCGTCTCAGTGGCAGCGCGGTCTGTGCAGAAGCGAGGACGAAGGCGCGAGTTGGAGCCGGAGGGTGAGTGAGTGAGTCCCCGCTGCTCCGCCTTTTGGGCCACAGCCGTTGTCCGGGGCGAGGCCTGGCGGCGCCTGTGTCCTAAGCCGCAAACACTCGGGGCCGCGGCAGGGCCCAGGCCAGTCCCGGTCCTCTGGCCTTTGCCACCTGCCCCCGCGGGGCCCGCTCTTTCCCCGCCTCGCCGCGGTATCCCCAGTCACCCTTTAGCAGACGAAAACGGGGAGGCCTTAAGGTCTGGAAGAAAGGGAGAGCAGCCACGTTGGCGGCCATTGTTTGGTCTACAAGCAAATATGCCAACTGGTGGGTCGTGCTTGAAAAGGAATCCAAGGCATGTCACATATTAGAAAAAGCAGGGAGTAAAGCCTTGCTGGTTCTTAAGCAGCCTTGCTACGAGGCGGATCTGGAGCTAACCTCTGTTTTTTCGGTACTGTCCCGTTATCCGGGCAGAGGCCACTAGGGGGTGCCAGAGAAGGAAGGAGAGTCCATTTTAGGGGGAGGGGGTTTGAAGGAGGAAGACCATTCCCCCCGTTTTCGCTCGTCATTCCCCCCCCTCCCATATAAACAATATGAGGAAGTGGGTGGGGGGAATAATAGAAAAACGGGGTAATGGTTTTCCTCTACCACCCCTATGAAATGGACTATTCTTCTGTCTGTAGTGCCCCCTAGTGGCTCCCACCCAGGTAGTGCAACAGAACTGTATTTTCTTTACATGTTTATTATTATGAGGCTGGATGGCCATCTGTCGGGGGTGCTTTGAATGCAAATTTCCTGCTTCTTGGCAGAATGGGGTTGGACTGGGTGGCCCATGAGGTCTCTTCCAACTCTTTGATTCTATGATTCTAGAGGGGGGCAAAGCATAACCCAGCAGAGGTTGGTGGACAATGGCTCCCAACATTTTTCATTATTGAGGGCCCTCCCAAAGGCTGACGGGAGTTGCAGTCCACCAAGATCTGGAGAATGTCTTTGTCCTCCGTGGTTTATAAAATGAAAAGTAGTTTTCAAAGGGAGTGCTTGCACTTGTTGTGCTTTGTTCTCATGTCAGTTTTACGCTGTATAGATGCCTAGTGATCTATCATTTATGGTATATGGATGAGAAAGCCAGCCTGGCAGAATGGCCTGAGTGCTAGAGTATAGCCCTGGAGACCAGGGTTCGACACCTCCCTGAGCCATGCAAACTTTGGTCATAGTTTTAAAAAATGCAATATAAAAATTAAAAGAAAACCAACTTAATAATATAGTGTGGTTTAAGGTAAAAACATTAAAATATAATAAATGCACTTAAAATGGCTGTTAAAACTCACAAAATAGGAACCTTTTTGAAAAGCATGATAGATGTCCCTTCAACACCCCTCCCCCCAATTAAATAATAATGATAATAATAATAATAATAAAGCTTTATTTATACCCTGCTACCATCTCCCCAAGGGACTCGGTGCGACTTACATGAGGTCGAGCCCACAATACATCAGCAAAAAACAACAACAGCAGTAATACAAAACAATAAAATAAAGCTCATAAACAAAAAATAGGCAATAAACATCGACAATAACACAATAACATTTAAAAACCAATGGCTGGGCCAAATGTAATAGTTAAAATTTAAAAAATAATGCTGGACAAGACCAGGTGAAATATAACTCGGATAGAATTTTGGAAAAGAATGGGGCGTATAGACAGTTCTAGATCACTAATAAGGTGCAATAAATAAGACTCCTGGTGTGATCAAAATAAAGAAAGTAAAGAGAAAGCTTATGATGAGATTAGAGAAAAGCTTTCTTTTGGTCTCTTTCACATCATCTTTTCTGATTGCAACATAAATATCTGAGCAGAGAAGGAAAGATAATGTATGCTATTTGTATGTGCTGTATGTGACTCTGTAAGTTGCTTTCTGGTCATTAGATATGTGGTTAGAGAGGTGCCCATTACTGCATGTGGGGGTAATTATTGTTATGCTACAAGTAACCTGGGAAATAATACTTTAATTGGGAAAAATAATGTATGGTAGCAACTTTAAAGAGTGTATTATTCCTTTGAATAAACATGGTTTAGGGTGTTTCAGTTCTCCCATATTTTGTCCCCACTTTTCTTAAACTATTCCTGCAAACTTGGAATATATCTCTGTATTCCTTGATGATTTGCCCTTCTTTCCATTCACTTTACTGTGTAACCACACTGATTTTTAAAAAGATGCTTAAATCTTTTCTGCTTTCATTTAATTTTTGTGATGGTGTTTTTAGCAGTTTCTTCTCCATGAAATCCTTCCTATGCTGGGTGTCTATTTCCTTTAGCATCTCTGACAATGAGATTCTGCCCAGTATTTCCTTGAGTTTGATTAAAAGTAGTTTTCCTGAAATCCAAACTACTTTACTCTGTTCAACAATAATGAAGTCTAGCATTACATGATCACTGTTCCCTTAAACGTACCAACTTTTTGATTCCACTAACCAACTCCTCTCTATTGGTTAAGATTGAGTCTAAGACTCCTGGCTCCCTTGTTCCTTCAACTTTTGAAAGCGGAGAATATTTGCAGAACTTGTGGCTAGTAGAGCAAATCACCTAACCAATATCAGAATAACTGAACTATCCGTTCTTATATCTGTGAGATTTTAAAGATTTGTTTCAGAAAAATATAATCTACTACGTCTTCTTAGTTTGGTGGTCTGCCATGTTGTTTTTATTGTTTCTCAGGTGGTCTCCACTGATCTTTAGATTGCTCCCATAGATTTCTGGACAAGAAGCTATGAATTTGAAATATAATGCGGTTCTCCCTCCTTTTCTTTCCCCATCTGTTGTTTTTAAATACATATAGTTTATCCCTCAATTGTTATATCCCAATCATGGGAGCCATGCCACCAAGTTTGTGTTATGTCTACAGACTTAATGGCCATCACTGGCTTAACTGTCTTTCTGCAAGGCTCTAGAAACACCCATTAATATGCATGTTTCCTTCCCATAGAACATGGCTGAGCAAGATGTGGAGAATGAATTACTGGACTATGAGGAGGACGAAGAGCCCCAGGCAGTGAATGATGCAACCCCTGTCCCTGCTAAAAAGGACGTGAAGGGTTCTTACGTTTCCATTCACAGTTCTGGCTTCCGTGACTTCCTGCTAAAGCCAGAACTGCTTCGTGCCATTGTGGACTGCGGTTTTGAGCACCCATCAGAAGGTAGGAGCTGAGCCAAGGCCCTTGGCCCCCTCGCCAGCCAGCCCAGCCCACCCACCGGAGAGCAACTGCCAGTGGTGCCAGGCGGTACAGGGTGAGAGCTGGGGGCTGCAGGGAGCAGGGGTGGGAGGGGCAAGGGAGGAGGGAGCTTTATTTGGCATTATTCCTGAGCTAAATCTTAGGGCTGGGAAGCCTGTGCTGTTCTGCCAGATATTTTTAGGTATCTATCATCCCTGGGCAATATGAACATGTTTGGGAAATGCAGACAGTTGTTGTTGAACACCACCTGAAGGGCCACAGCTCCCAGTCTAGAGTTCATGTGGCAGATAGTGCATTTTACTTAGGCACAGAATTTATTTGGTACTGAGAGACTCCATATTTCTGCTAATCCAATTGAATGGTGGTCCTGTTAGTACAATTATTCCATTTAAAATCTGCAATAGATTGGGCATAATGCTTAAGGAAGGGGAAATGCCGTGGGGTGGGTTGGGTTGCAGATATTATATTTAGAATCCTTTTTGGCCTGCTTGCTTTCAAGACAATAAAATTGAACATTTTATTCCTTGTACAGTAATTGCCTGTGGTGTGAAAAAGTATAGCTCTTTTCCATAGAAAATGTATAGCAAGATCAAAGTTTTGGAACAGTTTTATGTGAAGTTATCTGGTTTTAAAGATGTAGGAAAGCCCTTGGCTTGAGTCTCTTGGGCTTCATTCCGGGTTCTTCCATTTCCACAAAGCCTACTAAATCCCCTTGTTTGACTACTTTTTCTTCTTTTCCTCACAGTGCAGCATGAATGCATTCCACAGGCAATCCTAGGCATGGATGTTTTATGCCAAGCAAAGTCAGGCATGGGCAAGACAGCTGTATTTGTATTGGCTACGCTGCAGCAGATTGAACCGACAGATGGGCAAGTATGTATTGGGTAGTAGAGGTCTCTTGTGTTCATTACGCATGTCTCTTCTATTCTGGAAAAGGTGTTAGAAAGATTGGAATCCAAAGACCTGATCATATTTTTGGGTAAGAGTAAGACTTTGAAAAGTTGGTCTAGGGGTTTGGGCAATGTTAATGGATTGGTGCTTCAGGGCCTTTAAGAGAGGCTCATGGGACTTCTTTCTTAGTGCCATTACTTGTAACTGAGATGAGTTTTTAGGTAGTTTCCTGTCTTTCTCAACTGAGACATTGCATAGGTGTTTGCAGGTAGTTTTGTAGGGACACAGCCATAGTCAGACTTATTTATTCTTGATTTGTATTTATTTTATTTATATGATGTGTATTTCCTGGCATAGGATCGAAAGATTACAAAAGCTAAAAACAATCTTGGCTAAAAAATCTGACAATTTTTCAAAAAAAAACAAACAGTTCAACCTTTGTGCACCATTTAATTCACTCGGGACCCATCTGCACAGCACTTAGAACATGGAAGTTTCCAGATTAAAAGGTGCCGGGGGGGGGGGGGGGCTACACGATGCACTTAATCTGCTGCAATGGACAAAAAACATAGGGTAAAAAGGTCTGCTTGCATCCAAATTCTGGCCAGAAAATTTGCATATTTCTATCCCTGTATATCCCTGCACTTGTGAAAAACATATGATTCCCTTCTCTCCCTCTGTGGAGACTGCTCCAGTGTATTGTGCTTTTAAAAACAGCTGATTGGGCTGTAAAATGGACACACATCTACTTTAAAGGAAGCACAAATGGACAGCAATTAGAACCTTCTGAAACTCTTTATTTTAAACTTTATAATCTTAAATAAAGCTTGAATTAACAGTTGGGGAAAGAGATCTTGGGGAAGTTTTTTAAAAAAAAATCCCACTGTTATTCGCTTATATTTATATTAAGACACTTGCATGTGCACATATAGAGTCCTGTGCATAACAGAGTTATTTTTTAAAAAACAAACCTGTGGGATGTCCCCCGTCTGCCTTCCATCTTGTTCCGATACAGAGGAAGCCTGTGGGGACAGCGAAGGACCAAATCACAGGACAGGTCTGTGTGGGGACCTGCAGTCAGGTCCTGGGATTTTTTGTCTTTAATGTAAAACATGGGTTTTGGTGTTGTCTGGAAGTGCCCCGAGGTCTTTACAAGGTTGTTTTCAGTATTCTCCTTAATTCTACAATAATCCATCCATATCAGTCTCAATCTGGATAGTAATTTGAATTGTTTTGATAGATGCTGTTGCTGTTTCTCCAAGGTTTATCAATTCATGGGATTTGTTATCTGACCTCTGAGTGTATCCTGTTAATTGAGTAATAATTCATAGAGTTAATGTGAAGAAAGGCTAGATGCATAATACTAAACTACCAAATTCTGAGTGGTGTTGTATATGCTACTGCAGATGATCATATCCTTATTCAGGAAAGTGACTCCAGGATTGAGTAGTATTGGGGAAATTCTGAGCTGGCTTTCACATGAGCATATCCTTTTCTCTCTTGCAGGTATCAGTATTGGTGATGTGCCACACCCGAGAGCTGGCCTTCCAGATCAGCAAAGAATATGAGCGCTTCTCCAAGTATATGTCTGCTGTCAAGGTAAGGGAGGTTTTGCTGCTTTTATGCCAGTGACCCATAAGCTAGCAGATGTTCCTCTGTTTCAGGAAGCAAGATGTCAGAAAGAGGTTGTGTAGTTCAGGCAACAAAGTACGTCCTAAAGAAAAAGAAAACCAAGAAGGCAAAATGGTTGTCTGCTAGGACATTGGAAGTAGCCCCAGAAAGGTGGAAAGCACAAGGAAACAGTGATAAGGGGAGATATGCCCAATTAAATGCGCAATTCCAGAGGTTAGCCAGAAGATATAAGGAACTATTTTTAAACAACCAATGCATAGAAGTGGAAGAAGACAACAGAATAGGAAGGAACAGAGACCTCTTCCAGAAAATTAGAAACATTGGAGGTAAATTTCAGGCAAAAATGTGCATGATAAAAAATAAAGATGGCAGGGACCTAACAGAAGCTGAAGAGATCAAGAAAAGATGGCGAGACTATACAGAAGAGCTACTTAGGAAGGATAATAATATCGAGGATAGTTTTGACGGTGTGGTGAGTGAATTAGAACCAGACATCCTGAGGAGTGAGGTTTAATGGGCCTTAAGAAGCATTGCTAACAACAAGGCAGCAGGAGACAAAGGGATCCCAGCTGAACTGTTTAAAATCTTAAAAGATGATGCTGTCAAGGTGATGCATGCCATATGCCAGCAAATATGGAAAACACAAGAATGGCCATCAGACTGGAAAAAATCAACTTATATCCCCATACAAAAAAGGGAAATGCGAAAGACTGCTCAAACTTCCGTACAGTGGCCCTTATTTCTCATTCCAGTAAGGTAATGCTCAAGATCCTGCAAGGTAAACTTCAGCAATACAGAGAGAGAGAGCTACCAGATATACAAGCTGGGTTTAGAAAAGGCAGAGGAACGAGAGACCAATCTCCCATTATTCGCTGGATAATTGAGAAAGGCAGGGAGTTTCAGAAAAACATCTATGTTTGCTTTATTGACTATTCTAAAGCCTTTGGCTGTGTGGATCATAATAAACTGTGGCAAGTTCTTGGTGGTATGGGATGCAAACCTTTTCATTCAGACTGGCTTTTAAAGAGGAAGGTTTTAAAGACCAAGTCAGGTGGTGCTATGAATTTTAGCTTTGAATGTTTTATTGGATTTTAACTGAAATTTAATATTGTTATGTTTAATTCTGTATAGCTTTGATTGCAGATTGCAACCCAGTCACGAAGGTTTTGTTAATTATGGTAGCTTTCTGGCTTTGTCACTCTGGATAACAATGATTCCTAATTGACCTGCAGGTATCAGTCTTTTTTGGGGGCCTTTCCATCAAGAAGGATGAAGATGTGTTGAAGAAGAATTGTCCGCATATTGTGGTGGGGACCCCAGGCCGTATTCTAGCACTTGTTCGCAACAAGACACTCAACTTGCGCAATGTCAAGCATTTTGTGTTGGATGAATGTGACAAGATGCTTGAGCAGCTGGGTAAGGGACAGAGGTGGGGACAGTTTGGATGAAGGAGATGTTAAATTTTCTTGTCACAATCTGTAGTTTTTCATCATTTCTTGGTGAAAATTGTTTCCAAGTGTGGTACAATACTGTGGTTTCACATTACAAAACCCAGTCTCTTTCCAAGCATGAATTTTAGAAGTTTCAGATCAAAAGTAAGAACTCTGAAGTTTATTTTATACTATCCTGCTTTTCCACTTTGAAAAGAAATGGCATTAAAGATCTCACCAGAGTTATGCTTGCCTACAAACCAGGATCAGACTAGTGGCCACACACGTTCAAATTATATCTAAGCATTCCCAATCACCAGATATTGGTGAACTATCGTTCTCATAGTTTATATTATGTTAGCTGTAATTATGCCATTTGATCATTATTAATGCTGATCAGAAACAAAGCAAGTCATAATTCGGGACATTTGGAATCCATCATTTTGTAGAAAGTCTGCCATATCTAGTCCAAAGAAGTGTTTTAAGTTTTTCTAACAGGGAAATGAGGTAGTACGTGAAGCTAAATTTTGGGCTGATTTGGAGCAGACTCTGAGAACACTAGGGCTTACACAGCAGAGATGTGGAGGCTTATTCCCCAAATGTGAGGAAGGAGGCCGGGATGTTCTTTTTTTGAATGAAACCGATTCAGAGGGGTCCCATGAATTGAGGAGAGGGCTCTCTAGAAACAGTCAAGGCCTTCAGTTCTGTTCCCATTCTTCAAAGTACAGAAGAGCAGAGGCACGATGCATCTTAGGGGTGAGGACAAGGGCTAGAATTTGAATGGATTCCTTGTTGAGTTTAGAAGCCAGATCATCATCTCTCTCCTTGTTTTTCTATAGACATGCGCCGGGATGTGCAGGAGATTTTTCGACTGACCCCTCATGAGAAACAGTGTATGATGTTTAGTGCCACCCTGAGCAAAGAAATCCGGCCTGTCTGCAGGAAATTCATGCAGGATGTAAGTTGTGGCTCCAGGGTTTGAAGAATCCTTTCAACTGAAATTAAACTTGGGACCTTTTAGCATGCAAAGTATGTGCCTTGCTACTTGAAGAGGGTGAGGTGTCTCATTTCCTCACTAATCGGAGTAAGTGTGCAATGGCAGGCAAAATAGGTACCCAATATAGTAGAAAATGTGACAACCTGGAGTACTGTTGTAATTGTTGTGCAGCTTCAGAGTGATGTTACTAAATGCTGTTGTTCAGAAAAGAGAGTTGTATTGGAAGAGCTATCCTAGATCCTGTTCACTGAAACACCGTGAATAAGACATTTATTGTAGGACCTTGATTCATGCCTATCAAGTTAGATTTCTCTGCTGCAGGACAGTGCAGCCACTTTTGTGGATAACTAACAGTAGTGGGAATTCATTTCTTCACATTTCTTTGCAGAGGGAGCTCTTTAGCATGTGGAGATTTAATCTGCACTTTTGCAGAACGAATAGTCCCGTCCCCCCCCCCCAAATGTCCATGTAGCAATCAAAATAATGCCAACTACTATGACAATTTGATCCTTCTGGTTTTCAAAACAAGAAATGGGTGGAGGGTTTGGCTGTTGCTACTGATAAATGATTATAATTGTCTTTTCCTGCTTGCAGCCTATGGAGGTGTTTGTGGATGATGAGACCAAGTTGACTCTCCATGGTCTGCAGCAATACTATGTGAAGTTGAAGGACACAGAGAAGAACCGCAAACTCTTTGATCTACTGGATGTGCTGGAGTTCAACCAGGTCCGCATGGGAGAGGGCTCTTAACAAGGGAGCAAAGCTGGCAAGCTCTTGAGACAGGAAGGCTAATAGGGAGTTGTTAATTCTTGTTCAATTTCGTGTTTCCTTTCTCACCCCTTTGTAGGTTGTGATATTTGTGAAGTCAGTGCAGCGCTGCATGGCATTGGCTCAGCTTCTGGTTGAGCAGAACTTCCCAGCTATCGCTATTCATAGAGGCATGTCTCAGGAAGAGAGGTGAGTGCAGCAGGATGGTTTTATTGTAAGAAAGCAAGACAAATAAACCATTTCCCCCCAATTACTTTATTTACATCTTGCTTCCTTTTTCAAAGCCGCAGCTGAAGGTAGCTTAATTTTTTTAAAAAAATACATGTGCTTTTACCTGTAATTGATAGCATACTAAAGTTGTATTGTGAAATAGCATTAAACTTTCTGTAGAATTGTGTTTGTAGCATTTGTTCCATTCTGATAACGTTCTGGGCAGAAAATCGAAGTCTGGAAGAACTGAAGGTGATGGGAGACTGCCTATAGTACCTATTGAGATGAAATAGTCAACCCTGGCTTGCTGCATCGAAGGGAGGGAGGCCCTGCAGGAATGTAGATTTTCCTTGGGTTCATTTTCATAGCTTCTGAACATACCCACAGGCTAAATCCTGTAGCCAAGATTTGGCTCTCTAAATGTTAGACTGCAACTCCCAGCATTCTTCATCACTGCCAATGCAGGCTAGGCCTGATGGGAGCTTGGTCTATCCTCTGGAGGTCTGAATTTTTGGTCTTTTCTGACCGTATGCATGTTGTAAATCTTTTTTGAGTTGGATGTGCTTGACAGGTATGTCTGCTGAGACGATTTAGGAAGTGCCTGTGCATGTGTGCAAGGGCATACATGTCCTGATTGGGAGGGACAGGGGTGTTCCTGTGAATTGGGTCCAGTTCAAGAGAAATGATGTGTTGTATCTCAAGAAGGTTCAGTTGCTTCTTTTTTGATCATTGCAGACTCTCAAGATACCAGCAGTTCAAGGATTTCCAGCGTCGGATCTTGGTGGCCACAAATTTGTTTGGTCGTGGGATGGACATAGAGAGGGTTAACATTGTATTCAATTACGACATGCCAGAGGATTCAGATACCTATTTGCACAGGGTGAGCTTCAGTGTCAGCTGAATAAATGAATTACTCTGTTTACATGAGGGTTGTTTTGCTGTGAGACTATCTCTCTTCTAGATTGTCCAGGAAACACACAGGTCCTAGGAGCTCCTGATCAGACACCTGAAGCTTTCTCTGCTCTTTTGACTTTGGCATTTCCTAATTTTTCTTCATCAGATCTCTACTTAGTGCTGTTGTGCATAACCTGTATTTCATATTTCTTACAAGGAAGCTAAGATTATGCATTGTTCTCTCATAAATGCTAATGTACCCAGTGTTAGCTGAGTAGATGACCCATTCCCTGTAATCAGACCTGAGGGGTGTGAATTCAGAGTCAAGAAAACTTGGCTGTGTCCTTACTATACACCTTTTTCATTGCAGGTGGCCAGAGCCGGGCGCTTTGGTACAAAAGGTCTGGCCGTTACCTTTGTGTCAGATGAAGGTGATGCCAAGATCCTCAATGATGTGCAGGACCGCTTTGAAGTCAATGTAGCTGAACTCCCCGAAGAGATAGACATCTCGACGTATAGTAAGCATTAGAAATTGTCTTGAGTGGGCTTGTCTTCCTGGGATGGGCTCTCAAAAGCAAAACTAAACGTTAGGTTAGCTATGTACTGGTATAAGTGATCAGCTTGTTTCTGGGAACCCTGTCCTCCTTCAATGAGAAGTGAATCTTTTTGAGGAAACATCAGTTGGCGCCTTAAGTGAGGGATAGTTTGGGGTAGGGTGGGGATGCCCAAACTGGCCTTGCTGTCCTGGATGATCTTTAGGGGAATTAACATATATAGAAAAGAGAACCTGCTGAACTGGGCTGCAAATTCACTTTGAGCTCTCAGTACTCTACCGACATTAAGCTTTGGCTTAATGGAAGTTTTGCTAAAAAAATCCCCCATCTGTCTTTCTTACAGTTGAACAGAGCCGGTAACCTGTGACAATGGCAAGACTTTTCAACTACTCTTCAATTGCTCCATGGTGGAACCTGAAACCAAATACTGCTGAAGCCCAGAGGGCTATATTTTTTTTTAAAACCTATTGGGGGGTGGGAACTTAAAGCGGTTGTTGTTTAAATTGCCCAGGTGGTATTTCGCTTCATCTTTAGCCAGTGGGCTTTTTACATTAGATGTTTCTATTTTCAGAATAACGAAGTATGATAATAAATTGGTTTTTGAAAGTATTACTGTCTGATTGGTCCTTCAGAGGCATTACAGTGGCAATACTGTAATCCTAGTAAGTTTCACTTTTTCAGAATATACATTGATGTTTCCGTTTTCTTCCATATTGTTCTGTCTTTTGCTTAAGAAGAATATATGCCTCTCTTCTCACCTCTTCCTTCTCCCCCTTCCATTTTGAAAGAGAATATAATTCAAGTTCACAAAATGCATTTTATTTAAATGTCAATATTAAAGTGGTTGTGACACATGCTTCAGATTAACGGGTGGATAGTTGCAAAGGAGGAACAGCTTGTTTGTGCAAAGATGCTCATCAAAAGTTACTCTTGGAGAATGTTTTACAGTAGGACAGCATTGAAACCATGGCCCAACAGCAGGGGGCCATATTTCCTGCATTTTGAATTTCATGTTTTTTCTCAGTTGAAAAACAGATTCACACTGAGTGTAATATTTCAAAATCAGCCTTCAGGTGCAAGCAAAGCTAGCTTTCAAGGCTAGATCAAACATGACCCATGGAATTGAGGTTTACAGCACAAAATAAAACTTCTTACAAACTTCTCTCTTCACATGTAAAACAATACAAAATAATGATACTAAATTTGTGAATTTCTGCATGTTTTGGATACTCAAGCATGAAGGTCACAGAGGAGGCTTCATTGCACAATAGCCTCTCCCTTGACACAACCCCATCTTCCCAATATAAGCAGTCCTCAGCAGTCATCAGACTTACAAAAGACTGATAGTTAAGACAACAGGAAATGAGAGAAATCTACCTCTCAGAGGGAAATTTAGTCCTAAAGGAGTATCTTTGGGAAAAGGTGCCTTCACTGAAGCTTTAATACCAATCCTTGTTTCCACAACAAGCCAAACTTTTCAAAATCCAATCATGACAGGGACAGAATGTGAGGTGAAATCTGAATGGCACAGACAGTAAAACAAACATCACAGGGTTAACCCTTCTGCTATCCAAAGCTAAAAATTACATATCTTTTGGCTGGAGTTACACTTTAAAAGTATGTGCTCCGATTTACAAACAAATTCAACTTAAGGACAAACCTATAGAACCTATCTTGTTTGTAACCTGGGGACTGCCTGTACTACAGCCCTACAGCCAACCTGTGGCAGCTTCTGGGCACCATCTTGCTGTTGTTCTGCAGGTGGAGGAGAGACGTGCTGCTGCCTTCCTTGACCACCCGTAAATGGGCTGTGGATCTGGGAAGGTACTGACTTGCTCCTTCTCCTGGCTGCAAAATGACTGCAGCCTCAGCCAAGTGTCGGCTTTATTCCAAGGCAGAGGGGAAGCTCAGGTCTAGTCTGCTGATGCAGCTCTCTATTTTGAAGTCACTAGAAGAGCAGGGCTCCTTGGTGTTGTGTGATATGCTATTTCAGTTGGTTGCGTTTGCTTGATTATTTGATTGCTGAACAAAGGAACTGGAGAGTGATTTGCCATGTTTTTTTCAATTAGGGTGTGGGCATCTTGCAAAAGTATGTTAGAGCGGTGAACGTACTTGAAGATTAGGAAGATATTCATTTAGTGGTGACATCAAGAGCACTTTAGAGAGTATAGTATCATAGAATCAAAGAGTTGGAAGAGACCTCATGGGCCATCCAGTCCAACCCTCTGCCAAGAAGCAGGAAATGGCATTTAAAGCACCCCCAAACAGATGGCCATCCAGCCGCTGTTTAAAAGATTCCAAGGAAGGAGCCTCCACCACACTCCGGGGCAGAGAGTTCCACTGCTGAACGGCTCTTACAGTCAGGAAGTTCTTCCTTAATGTTCAGATGGAATCTCCTCTCTTGTAGTTTGAAGCCATTGTTCCATTGTGTCCTAGTCTCCAAGGAAGCAGAAAACAAGCTTGCTCCCTCCTCTGACTTCCTCTCACATATTTATACATGGCTATCATATCTCAGCCTTCTCTTCTTCAGGCTAAACATGCCCAGCTCCTTAAGCCGCTCCTCATAGGGCTTGTTCTCCAGACCCTTGATCATTTTAGTCGCTCTCCTCTGGACACATTCCAGCTTGTCAATATCTCTCTTGAATTGTGGTGCCCAGAATTGGACACAATATTCCAGGTGTGGTCTAACCAAAGCAGAATAGAGGGGTAGCATGACTTCCCTAGATCTAGACACGATGCTCCTCTTGATGCAGGCCAAAATCCCATTGGCTTTTTTTTGCTGCCACATCACATTGTTGGCTCATGTTTAACTTGTTGTCCACGAGGACTCCAAGATCTTTTTCACACGTACTGCTCTCGAGCCAGGCCTCCCCCATTCTGTATCTTTGCATTTCTTTTTTCCTGCCAAAGTGGAGTATCTTGCATTTGTCACTGTTGAACTTCATTTTGTTAGTTTTGGCCCATCTCTAATCTGTCAAGATCGTTTTGAATTCTGCTCCTGTCCTCTGGAGTATTGGCTATCCCTCCCAATTTGGTGTCGTCTGCAAACTTGATGATCCTGCCTTCTAGGCCCTTCATCTAAGTCATTAATAAAGATGTTGAACAGGACCGGGCCCAGGACAGAACCCTGCGCACTCCACTTGTCACTTCTTTCCAAGATGAAGAGGAAGCATTAGTGAGCACTCTCTGTGTTCGTCCACTTAACCAATTACAGATCCACCTCACCGTAGTTTTGCCAGCCCACATTGGACTAGTTTCCTTGCCAGAAGGTCATGGGGGACCTTGTCGAAGGCCTTACTGAAATCCAGGTACGCTACATCCACGGCATTCCCCGCGTCTACCCAGCTTGTAACTCTATCGAAAAAAGAGATCAGATTAGTCTGGCATGACTTGTTTTTGATAAATCCATGTTGACTATTAGCGATGACCGCATTTTTTTCTAAGTGTTTGCAGACCACTTCCTTAACAATCTTTTCCAGAATCTTGCCTGGTATCGACGTGAGGCTGACCGGCCGGTAGTTGTTTGGGTCATCCTTTTTTCCCTTCTTGAAGATTGGGACCACATTGGCCCTCCTCCAATCTTCTGGAACTTCTCCGTTCTCCAAGAACTCTCAAAGATGGTTCCCAATGGTTCCGAAATGACTTCCGCTAGTTCCTTCAATACTCTTGGGTGTAGTTGATCTGGTCCTGGGGACTTGAACTCATTTAGAGCAGCCAGGTATTCCTGGATGACTTGTTTCCCAATTTGGGGTTGGATGTCCTCTAATCCCTCATCCACTCCATCTTGCTGAGGTTGAAGATGACTTTCTTTTTGTGAGAAGACCGAGGCAAAGAAGGTATTAAGTAGTTCTGCCTTTTCCCTATCCCCTGTCAGCATTGCCCCATCTTCTCCTCGAAGAGGCCCTATCGCCTCCTTGTTTTTCCTTTTTCTACTGACATAAGAAAAGAATCCCTTTTTATTGTTTTTAATGTCCCTGGCGAGCCTGAGCTCGTTTTGTGCTTTAGCCTTGCGGACCTTTTCCCTACAGCTGTTGGCTATTTGTTTGACGGTACTACTATCTGATGAAGCATTCATGTATGATTTTGCTGTTAAACTAATTATATATCAGAAGTATGAAGTAGTCCTGAGGTACAACACCATACCAAGTTGAGCCTGAAATCTAGAAGCACCATGCGTCTTAAAATATGCCAGAAGAATTGTATGCAATGCAAACTATTTCATCAGAATTTCAAAATTTCTTCATTAAACATAAATCTAGGAACATAGAACAGTAGGTATCTTGAAGGAAAAGTTTTTATTTTATGTGTGCTAGCATTTAGTTAAATTTCTGGGTTGGAATTCTGTAGGCAGTGATTTTGAAAATGCATTTATTGGAAGGAATGGCTATAAAAATACACCCACTGAGGAAATTGTGTGCACATTACATTTGTCCCTGTTGAACTTCATTTTTTTAGTTTTTCACATTCTTTCCAAGTCAGTAGAGACGTTTTCAACCATCCTAAATCACAGTCCACGGTGGTATAACATCTAGGTGCATATTTATTTTACAGAGTACTAGAATTCATTTTTTGGAAGTCTTCGATAAATAAAGTCAAATAGATTTGACAGGCATAACCAGAATTCTTCCAAGTTTTGTGTCAAAATGCTGAGTTGTCTTATTCCACTCCAGGTAGTTTCCTCTTCCAACTAATGAGAAAGCTTTGAACGGAGTCTCCCCCCCCCCCCCCCCCCCCCCCCCCCCGGCCGCCTTGCATTTCATTTGGGCTATTTTTGTTGCAGTCAATATCCTCTTAAGCTACTGCAAAAGGGCTGAATGACTAAGGGTGGGTCTCAGTACTTCCATCTGGCAAACAAGCTATCAGGGGCCAAGCAAAGCTTAAAAATAACAGCTCTGAGATAAGATCTGTGGCTCAGTCCATGAAGAGTATGGTGTTGACGAATAGGAAACTTCGACTCGCCATAAGAAGTCCACTTTGGAGCTCTGATCATCAGCTACTGATGCACCAACAGCTAGCTCTGGAGCAGTACTTTCTCTGCAAGGCTCAGTAATATAGGGCATTTTGGAAAAGTGTCAAGTGTGCAAGTACCTCTATAGATTTACTCCCATAACTTTTTGAGAGATGAGTGCCTTAGCTTGAAGGAAGAAGGGGGCCCTTGCTGAAGGGACTTGTGCCCACATCTGCTTAAGAGAGCATTGCTCCCGTTCTTGCACTTGCCAAGTGCATCCTTGTATAGGCTCCTGGCAGTTCTATTGTCCCTGTTGCAATAGGGCCTGGATCACTGCGCACCCCTTCTGAAGAGAGTCCTGCCTCAGTTACAGGAAGTGTAATTGTGCAAAGCGGCACTTCAGGAAGTTGGTTCTAAAGAGCGTTGCTACATCCCAGATTCTCTGGAGGACTTCTGTGCCTACAGGGGAGACAAAGAATATAGCTTGAGCCTTAATACTCTTAACTCTATGAGAAGAATATATGTCCATAATTCATTCCTTTGTCATCCTATTGAATAAGCCCCCGGTGGCGCAAATGGGTTAAACCCTTGTGCCGGCAGGACTGAAGACTGATAGGTTGGAGGTTTGAATCCAAGGAGAGCGCGGATGAGCTCCCTCTGT